AGATAGGAAAAAAAGGAAAAAAGTTTATTGTAATCCAGTACTGACAATGTATGTAAAAGTGTACTTTGACTTAGTACAACTGTCTCACATGTTTTATGTTTTTTAGTCTATTAGTCTGATTTTTAATCTCTATACATGATAATTAACTTTATAAGGTCTTATAAGAAATTAATAAATCCAATGCTGGTGAAATAAAAGGGGGGTGGAGGAAAGGGGGAAATAAAATGAATTGAAATGTGTTATATACATGTACCAATTCCCTACAACAAATACAATCATTATGTATTACTAATAAAAGTCAAAGAAGAAGAAGAGGAGGAGGAAGGGAAAGAGGAGGAAGAGGAGGAGGAAGAAGTGGCAGAGGTGGTGGCAGCAGCAAATTCAAACCTAGCCTGGGCAACTTAGCAAGATCCTGTTTCAAAGTTTAAAAAAAAAAAAATTAAAGGCTAGGGAAGTAGCTCAGTGACAGAGTGCTTGCCTAGCATGTGCAAGTTCCTGGGCTCAATCCCAGTACAAAAAAAAAAAAAAAAAACCTCAAAAAACAAAAACCAATAAAAAATACATTGTCTATCATGGTGGTGCACACCTGTAATCCCAGCATTCAGGAGGCTGAGGCAGGAGGATCGTCAAGAGTTCAAGGCCAGCCTAGGGCTACACAGAGAATTCAAGACCAATGTGAACTACAAAAGGCGACCCTGTCTCAAAAAACAAAACCAAAATAAAACAAAGGATCAAAGACTTATGTACTGGAGCTAAAGCTTACAGGAGAACATGGGGCTAATCTTCAAAATTTTTAGCTACACAACAGTTTAATAGTTTCTTAAATATAACACCAAAAGCACAGCAATAAAAAAAGAGATAAATTGGACTTCATCAAATTTAAAATGTTTGTGTACCAAAGAACACTATCAAGAAAGGAAGACAATCCACATGATGGAAAAAAATATTGGTAAATTATATATCTGATAATGGTCTGGTGTCCAGAATATATAAAGAACTTTTACAATAACAATTTTAAAAAACCAATAGACATTTCCTTAAACAAAACATACAAATAATCAATAAACACATGAAAACATGTCCAACATTAGGGAACTGAAAATCAAAATCACTTTAATACTTCAAACCTTATAGGGTGGCTACACTAAAAAAGCCAGACAATAAAAAAAGTTTGGGTGAGGGGACAGAGAAATTAGAGCCCTCATACACTACGGATAAGAAGGTAAAAATCGTACAGCTGGCAGGGAAAACAATCTGGTAATTCCTCAAAACGTTAAATAAGGAGTTATCATATGAAGCAGTAACTCCACTCATGCATATACCCAAGAGAAATGACAATATACTCACAAATTCTTTACACAAATTTTTATGACAGCATTATTCATAATAATCAAAAAGTACAAACAAACCAAATGTCCATCATCTAATGAATGGATAAGTATTTGATGGAATATTATTCAGCCATAAAAACAAAATACCTATATATGCTACAACATGGATGAACTCTGAAACAGTATGTTAAGTGAAAGAAAACAAGCCACAAAGGACCACATATTGTATAATTCTACTTATATGAAAGGTCCACAACAGAAAAATCTACCGTATTAGTGGCAGAAAGTAGATTAGTAGTTGCCTGGGATGGGGACAGTGAGAAGAATGAGGGGTGACCACAAATTGGAAAAGGGCTTCTTCCCGGGGTGATGAAAATGTCCTAAAATTAGATTGTGGTTGTGGTTATATAACTCTGTGAGTAGGCTAAAAATGCTTAGATTGTACACTTTAAATGGGTAAACTGTGTTGTATACAAATGATATTTTAACAAATCTGTTTAAAATAAATACATACTTCTGAAATTTATAAAATACCGATTCTAGTTTCCACCCCTACTCACTATTTACCAAACTAAGAATTAAGCCAATTGCAATGAATTTCCCTTTCCCTCCTATGCCTCTGATCTTGTCAGAGGAGAGAAAAGCAAAAAGGAGAAGGGGTCTGAATAACTCCTCATCCTGTCTGGCTGAAATGCCCAGCATGGAACGAGCCAAGAGATGATCCAATAACCTCCCAGAGCACGAGAGCTCAGGTGAGTGTGCATGCTCACAGAACGACCTTTGCCTTCTCTTCCACCTCGGAATGTACAACTTCATTTTCATCTTCAAAAGAGCACTTCATTTACAAAGACTTCCTTCCCAATAATGCCTCCCCCACATGATTTTTCCCTTCTCTCTCGGTTTCCACAGCATTTTGCACTGACAGTGTCTAAGGAAATGCTTATGTATAGCTGTCTCCATAACTGTCCCCTCCTCCTTTCGTAAATTATATAAACACCAATGACTTCCACAGATGAAATGCATTATACCTGGAGACACTAAGACACTCAATAAAGAGGCATCAAGTAGAATTTAGGAGCTAGGAGTAATTTTGAGAAATGACTTCAACATCCTTGGCAACTAAAGGAAGTTAGTTCTCCCCGTACTTGCTTTCCTTTCTTACTAACCAATGAAATTTTCTTTTTTATTCCCCCTCCCCCCATCCCATTACTTCCCCCACTCTATCCTAGGGAAAAACGAAAACAAACACATCAAACCTATAGACAGACAGTTCACATCTGTGGGCCGAGCTTCCAGCTGGCAGGAACACAGAAAACACCAGCCATCTCATGCCCTCATCTATATTCTAAGGAGAAAAGAGCCTGTTCCCTCTTTCGAGGCTGCAGCATCCGACTAACACAAGCCTCAGACATGCTCTGCTCCCAGAGCCTCACCCAGTCTGCTGCACTCAGTCACTCGACTGTGCTGAAAAACCAGATGCCCTCTCCCGCTGGCAGAATTCCTGCGGGGCCTCAGCTTGCCTGATCTCTTGGAAAGGATGGGAGAAACACAGGCTTAAGTGTGCAGACCTCTATATTTGCAGCTTTGGAGTATCTGTTGCCTTTGGAACATTTAGAAAAAGTAAAATCAGTTTGACTTTTTACAGCATGTTCTGCCAACCCCTCAGCCTGTCTGAGGAAGACTGCAGAAGAGACTGGATTAACATAGACCTTGGAATGTCTCTCCCTAGCTCCAGCCTCATTCTCCTGTGTCGCCACTGTGTGGGATATTAAAAAGCAAAAAATGCTTAGAAGCTGAGAAATGACCAGAGACGATGTTACATTCCAACTAATAACCTCCTGAAGAAAATGAGAATGAAAAGAAGAACAGACTCGGTATCCAGGCAGTTGGACAGAGCCTCATAGGTGCCATCCACATCCTTCTCCGCAGCCCAGGGCTCTCTAGGCCACAGCTCCACCCAGTCACCTCCCCACTTCACCACCTGTCCTTCCTTCCCTCAAGTGCAGCAGATTCACTCTTCCTAGATACAACCACACGGCCAGGACACAGAGACCCACAGCCCACTGAAGGCAACTCTGCCCTTCAGCAGGCGCCCACCCTCACAGTGCAGCCAGCAGCTTTCCAGACAAGCCATCTTGGGCAAATGGAGCTGTAGGCAACTTCTGTGTGAAGAATTTTAACTCTTATAGAGTTAGATATGTAATGAGCCCTTACGTATTTCTTTCAAGACAAAATTATTTTCAGAAGACAAAAAACAACAGGTTTTCTATGAAAGCCTCCTGTTCATCTGATAAGTAGGTTTCAGAAAATTCTGGAACACAGAGGTAATTTTTCCTGTGTATTTTCAAAAGATGGGCTGTTTTTGCTGCCACTGTTGGTCAACAAGTATAGGCCATCAGGCTCACAGTCACCTATCCATTGTCTCGCAACCACCCAAGACTTGCTGTACCCTGACCTTAGACACAGCTTGTCTTCTCCAGGAACCATGACAGAGGGTCCTGCCCTTTGCTGTACCACCCACCTAATTCCCATGCCCCTTCAATATGGGACACAGTTGGGATCACCTGTGTCTCATGTGTTAAGAAGTTGTTCTGGAGGTCAAGGGGAAAGATGTGGGGTTAAGAAAAGAATCTGCCTGATGGGATTGATTCTCTGTAGCCATTATTTGGCAACTTTTAAATATGTTGGTAATATTTTTTTTTCTATCAGTAACAATTTTTCTGAAGCCCATTTAAGTTACTAGATTTATTTACAGGGTAAGAGGAAACAGAACAGGCTGGCTGCATTATTGGGAGACAGGGATTGCAGGCCAAGTTTGTTCAGGAACTCACCATGAGCAAGTAATTGACCTCTTTTTCATGTGAAAAATGGGGCTCAAACATAACCAAGGTGACAAAGCATCAAAACATGTACAGCAATGCACTTCACAAAAGCAGAGGGTACTGTGCAAGTTCACAGACAGCAGTGAAGCCACTCAATCTGCTGATCGAATATAGGTTATCTACCAGCTAGGTGGTCCAAGAAGCCCTGATCAGGCAGTTAACAAGGAGAGTTAAACTTTTACAAGTAATGGAGAGGTGTCAGGAAAAAACAGTGGTAGGGTCTATTTTAAACTTCCAAATAAACAGGAAGAGATCATTTTATAACAGAATTTGAAAGAACTTTTCTGAAAACAATGCAGCATGGCATCCTGCCTCAGGCAAAGTGATAGAAGTTCAATGATAATGGATGGAATCCCAAGTCTCATAAGAGCACAGTGGTAAAGGGAAGCAGCAATTCCAGATGAAATGTCCTGGCTGAATCCCACTTCCTGTCTGTGTGATGCTGGGATATGACATAACCTTTGTGCCTCAATCCTATCACCTATAAGACGGAATATATAATAGTACCTGGTTTTTACACACCCATAGGGTGATGCTGAAAACTAAATGAGTTAAAGCACTTAAAACAGTATTGGGGCTGAAGATGCAGCTCCTCATAATGTGCTTCTCTGGCATGCATGAGGCTCTGGATTCAATCCTCACCACGGCAAAACAAAAGAAAAAGAAAAAAAGGGAAACAATATCTGACTTATAGTAAGCACCATGTTTGTTTAATAAATATCTACCTTACAGAATTCTTGGGAATGGTAAATAAGATATGTATGGATCTATGACCACATGGACTAACTTCCTTCAGTCACATTACTAAGCAAAGTAAATATGACTGGGGAAAGTTAGTCACAAACTTAAAAAAAGAGGCCTAGGGGGGAAAGGCCTGGGGTAGGGCTAGCGGTGTCCAGGAGCCAAGGCATCCAGTGCTGACTGAGTTCCTTAGGCATACTGCCAGGAGCACCAAGCACTGGGACTCACGTAAGCTTCACTCTGGCTCCTCCAGCCCATGACTCCAGAACCAGCTACCTCATCTACAGGTAGGACCAAGACTCAGAGATACTCGGACCTCATCAAAGTCCACCAATGACTCCGTGGCAGAGCCAGAACTCAAGTCCAGATAGGCCAGACTCTGAGGTCTGCACATGGGTAACCTGCTCTGGTAGCCTCTGTCCCGTCCAAGTTCCTAAAAGTGCTAAGATGTTCCTTGATATCTATTTGTCCTGCCTTTAATCCAAGTCTTCAAATATAAATTATAAAATTAAGCTCTTTGAGCCAGGATGGAACCACTGTTACCAACTATAAATCACACACAAACACACACACACACACGCACAAACACATACACAAACTTGTATTAGCTAATGCTATTTTATTCTACTGGGAAAAAAAAAAACCTCTTTGTCCTCCCTCAAAAATTTCACAAATGTAGACTTACTTTCTCGAGTAGTCAGAAAACTACTAACAACAACATCCTGAAGCAAGACAGAGGGCAGAGGAAATGGAGGAACACAGAGATTCGTAATTTCCAGAAAGGGCTTGAAATCAACACTGAAAGAAAATACATCCTTTTTCATCCCAGTGTCCTGCAAACAGACATTAAAAACTATTTATACAAATCAAAACATGTGCAACCTGCCAGAAGAAATACATTTTTTTTAAGCAAGGAGGTCTTGCTTCTGATTTTCTTTAGAAATATGATGGTCCATAAAACGGAGTCCTAGGGCTGAGGAGGTAGCTCAATGGCCCTGTGCCTGCCTGGCAAGTGCAAGGTCTTAAATTCGATCCCTGGTGCCAAAAAACAAAAACAAAAACAAAAAAAACCCTCTAAAAATCAAGAGTCCTATGTCTTTGCACATAAAAATAAATGTGATACTTTGGTCTCCAAAGCTCTTGCATCCAACTAGAATAAACTGTTCCCTCTACCATGAAGACCCTGACTATAGACTGTCCCATTTTACCCTCAAATGTACCCATAAATAGGATGTTAATTATGACTATAAGGAATCACCTTCACCCTTAATCACTTTGGACCACTGAACTTTCCATGATGATAAAGGGCAAAAAGATAGCTTTCTTGAAAACACACTCCTTTCCCTTCCTTGTACTAGGGAGGCTGCCCTTTCCTGCCCTATGACAGGCCCCTCTACATGAAGCCTTGAGGCAGGTAATCCAAGGAGAATGCAGCTAAGTTCCAGGCCTCAGTCTTAAAACGCACAGTCTTATAATTTGTCCTACCCTTTTAAAGCTCCATTCAGAGCAGATCACTGCTTTCCCTGGAGATTTAGTAATATAGACAAGGTTTATAGAAAACACTGCAATTAATGTTTGGTGAAAGGTGTGCTAAGGATGACACTGGAACTTTCATTTTATCTTTTTGGTTTTTTGAGACAGGGTCTCACCATGTAGTTCTGGCTGGCGTTGAACACACTATGTGGCCCAGGCTGGCCTCAAACTCACAGTGATCCCCCTGCCTCAGTGCTGGGATTACAGGCGTGTGCCACCATGGCCATCTGACACAGGAACTTGTACAAATGTCATCACATTTTATCATCTTCAGTGAAGCTGAGGGTCTAAAGAGCATAAAAGTTCCTCAGAGCCAAACTGAAAAAGTCTCCAAAAGTTTTTAAAAAGTGTCAAAATATATATATATATATTCCATTTTCACATAATGTACTGCCAAAGGCCATGTCCCAGGACCACACACATTTTGAGGCAACTCTTGCTGTGTGAGGTCTGCTGTGGCCCTGAAGCAGAGCTTGGGAAGGTAGTGCCAATGGCACTGGCTAAAAAGCCAGTAGTCAGGGTGGTCCCAGCTACTGGCTTTGGCAAACGCCATGGAAAACCAATCTCTGCACTTAGGCTGTGCTCGCCTTCACTGCAAACACTTCTCCACCAAGTCTATTTTCGCAGTGTTGACTACTGATGTGAGCATGTCACTAAGGATTACTCAATTTTAGGTTTCCTGTCCTGTGAAATGCTTTACACATGTTATCAAGAGATAATGTGCTGCTTGCCAGTTCCCTGCTTATCAGTCTTCCCCCACTGCTAACAGAATGTATTCTCCTCCATTTTTGTTTCAAAAAACCCTCCCCCATCACCATCTCAAAAAATAAAAAATAAAGCCTCCCCCCCAAACTCTCTTCAAACTCCAGGTTTCCACACCCCAAAAGCCATGGCTCGCGGCTGCAGGCCTCACTGCGGTCCTCACCTCTTTCATTCTCAATGTGATGGCACCACCATTCTTCAGTTATCACAGTACTGTACCTTTCAGACATACAGCATCGGTACCATGATAACCGAAAAAGGACAGTTCAGTCTCTTATCTAGCTGAGAACTTCCTCCCTCCCAGCTTACTACCACAGATGGCCATAGAATCATCTCTAAGTATATGAATGCATGTATGCCATTTGCACATACATACAGAGTCAGTACTCCAGTAGACTGTTTTCATCAATCTTGTTTATAATTGATGAGAAGTGTTTCTTTCATTGTGCTGTTTGCTTTTTCTTCTTCACACTGTGCTCTTCATAATTCAAGTCTGACTGCTTTAGAGAATGCTTGCTTTTACACATTAGCAATCAATTTCTGCTAAAAAAAAAAAAACACCCAGGGGCCGGGGATTTAGCTCAGTAGTTCCGTCACCTGCCTTGAAAGTGCAAGGACCTGAGTTCGATCTCCAGTACCAAAAAACAAAGCAAAACAAAATAAAAACACCCAAACTCACCTCTACAATTTCCAGACTAGTCTAGCAGCATTACCATGAACTTTGCCCTTCTTCATCTTTTTCAGCCAGCTAATACTCTATCATCTTGGAAAAAGAAAGCCCAGTTGCCACAGCAAGTGAGACTGCTATGGAATAGAGAGATTTTAAAAATTAAGAGCAAAATTCAAGCCACAGAAAACCAGAAGTTTTACCACAAAAATGGAAATAAAAATCTAAAGCACAGACAAAAGAACTGCCCGATGTATACCATGCAAGTTTAATTACACAGGAAAGTTGGGAATGAGGAAAGAAAGGAAGAGATGGTATAAAAATAAACTCCAGGTTAAGAGTGGCAATTGCTGGCTCATTTAAGGATCAATACAAGCAGGTGGTCATGTGACAGGATATGCATATTTGTCATTTTGTGCAATTACAAAATTAAACTGGACAGAATGATGAGGCTGAAAGAAAACAACTTACGTGTAAGGAGAGATTGGTCCTAGCAGGACTTTGGAAACATCCTGTTGTCCAAGGGTCATGAGCAGCAGAGCCAGACTTTGGTTGGTTGAGTCTACACATCCACCCTGTAAATACAAACACTTTAATGATTAATCACCGTACAAACCAGAAATGGAAACATGACCCAGGAGAGGGGGGACCAGCAACATATTCAGAACATTACAGCCCACAGAATACAGCCTTGTAAAAGTAACCATTCTATCAACTAACTTGAGGAGGTTAAACTAACAGTTAACCAACACAATTCTAATAACTGAGATATCAAAATGAACAGACATTCGAATTTCCTGAAGAGAATCTAGAAAAAACTAAACTTTCCCTTAGAAACTGGAGTAGGGGTGGGACATTTTATTGAGTATAAGTAAAAAAAGCATAATGGGTTCTAGTAGATGAATTCCAAGGGATATGTGAATGATGTTTACCTTTCTCTAATCTGTCTCAGAAAAACACTACTTGACCCAAAAGGCTTTTTACCTTTAAAGCATTTACATTCTTTCTGGGACTATGCTCTTCTACACTTACTCCAGTACTCTCAGAAACTGCTCACAATGCTCCTAACCTCTCTTCTTTACTCCTTCCTAGGTGCCTTCAAACTGGAATGCTATTACAGTCAGATCCTTCCATGCTTATGATTTATCCATTATTCCTGAAATTTGCCCTTCTTTTTTCTTCCAAATCAATAAGCAGAATAAAATTCTCTCCAAAACCTTTCTCCTGAGGCTCAATGGCTTTGGCTGTTTTTCTTCTGTCATTCTTCATTTTCTCAATCACTTCAGCTGATTTAAATCTACCCACTACTGGGATTAAATTTGTGACTAAAATTTCTTTATTTCTGTTTATTCTTTCTAGGGTAACTTTATTTACAACAATTTAAACTCACACTCTACACTGCATGAGCAGGATGACCTAGAATTTCTACTACTTTGCACAAGTCCACAATGAAAAATCCAGCTCCTGCTCATGGTACACTGCTGTCTCAGGCTAGACTCTGAACAGAACAGGTGGCTGTCAGCGCTATTTATAGGGAAAAACCCTTCCTTTTTAATGCATGTAGGTTAGGGAACAAATCAACTCTCAGATGCAAACATTCATTCTCCAGCTGTCAGACTTCATTTAGTAGCCCTGACAAGGATATAGGAAAAAAAGGGGTTTATCTTACTACTAGCCTTGATGAAAATCTATTGGTCTTCCTAAATTAACTAAGTTTTAACAGAGAATGGGGAATAGTGTTCACCTCAGTAAAACTTAGGACAAAAGTTTCTTTTCCATAAAAAACAGGAAATCTGATCAAGAAAACTAATTCTGTTCCCCTTCAGAAGATTCCTTAAAATTAAACTGTTCTCTTCAGTCTCTGCTTCCTATCACTATGCTATTATTGCACTGTTCTTAACGGTACTAGACTAGCATTTTAATGCAATAAATGTGCATTACATGTGTACAGAACATCATGGGGGGAATGGTGGGGACTAAAAGATGCCAAGGCATGGGGTGCGGGGTGCCACTCGCCCAACACTAGAGGGAGGCTGCTTTTAGGAAGCACAGACTTGACCTGGCCCTGGAGAAATCACCAGGCTTTGGGGAGGAAGAAAAGCAGCAAAATGGGAGAAATAATGAACTAGGGCCAGTGTGGTGCAGACTGGAGCCATGCACAATTGCAGAGGGAAAGTGGGCCAACCAGCCTGAGGTAGGGCTTCCCTAACTGAGTCAAGAGTTCTGACTTTTATCTTGGGAAAGTGAAGAGCCAGTAAATGCACAGAAGAGCAGAGATCAGACCAGGGTTTGGAGGGAGATGGAGATACAGAAGGATGTGGAAAGGACTTCCCCTCTGGCAGGGAAGAGAGCCAGTTTCCACACATAATCCAGGTCTGACTAAGGTGGGATGTGAATGTGAGTGAGGTGCCCCAAGCAGGAAAGGTGGCAGTGGAGCAGGGGAAAGGATACAAAAGGGGCAATTCCAGGAGCCTGATACAGAATTGAGAAAACTTGGTAACTGGTGAATAGGAGGAATTGGGTCAAAGCCTTAAAATGTTGGTAAAAATAAACCGCACCTTTTTGTTGCTCATTCAAATCACGTTGCGTCACAACTCCATAAAGCATTGTTCAAAAAGCATGAAGATTTTTCAACTTTCTACTAATTAAAGATCACAGACACACAAAAGAAGTTTTCTTAACAACTAAAACAAAACAAATTTGACCCAGGAACAATAAAACTGCTTAATGAAAATCTCAATTAGAGAAAAGAAAATAATAATACCATAATCCAAACTGCATGTTTTTCCTCTTGTGCACTGGTGGGCTGTGACTTCACTCCAAGGTTAATACTCTGCTATTTATGGGGAATACAAAATTCAAACTCCAGCTGCACCCATGGGATCCCACTACACTGCTCTGTGATGTGGGGCTTTCAGTTCTTCCAAGATCTTCTAGAAAGGGACAGAAGCCTGCCAGCCACCACAGGACTGGGAAAAGGAAACCTGCACAAGTCCACAATGAGTTTCCCTGAGCTCCCACAAACATTACATGCATCCCAATGTGCAGGTGAAAGACTTCATGAACTAACTGGAAGAGCAACCTCTTCATCATTTACCCTAAACTTTTAGTTACTACATATTTCCTCCCCAAAATCACTAAATTTAGCATCAAGAAATGAACTGATTTGGCACCAAAAAATCTGTGGCAGACTTTGCACAAAATCCATGACAGAACACTTCTACTTCAAGGACATTTTCAGGCATGCTGACTTGGGTGTGGGGAGCAGACTGCCTATAAGCTGTCTTCTGAGCAACACTCAGGATCCAGGCTTCTCCCTCCCACCATGATTGATAAAATGAACCAATGGCAAAAGGAAGGACCAAAGAAAACAAAATTGCCACTGAAAGCACTTACCCTATTTTACTCATTGAACTCAGATATGGTTTTTTTGTTACTTCAAATAGGATAAAATTCCCTTGGAGATAAAGAGATGACTAAGAACCAGGAAGAAACACACAGATAAATGTGAAGATACAGAAAAGATCCTTATATGTAGAAGAGGGTCCGTTTGCTAACATTACACATCCTTGAACAGCAAGCAAGCTGAAGTACAGTTCTCATTAGTGGTCAGTCAAGAGTATGAAGCCTGGCACACACAGAGCCTGACTGGACTCCACATGTGCACAAAAAAGTTTTACCTTCCTGATGCAAAACCAAGGCAAAAGAGGTGCAGATGTGGCAGCACATCCCTGTAATCCAGCATCCCAGGAAGCTAAGGGAGGAAGATTACAGGTTTGAGCCCAGCTGGGGCACCTTAGTGAGACCCTGTCTCAGAATAAAAAACAAAAAGGGCTGAGGATGTAGCTCAGTGCAGAGGCCCTGGAACCATTCTCAGTACTAAAAAAAAAAAATTTTTTTTTAAAGAGGGTACAGACTAACCAAAATCTTGAAACCAGGTTTGTGGCATCCTCTAACCAAGGAGGTAGGATCTCAGAGAATGTATCTTCAAACAACTGCATCTTATTCCTCCTGCCACCATCTTCCCCTCCCTCACAATTTCTTCCTTACTTCCATCAGCTCACCTATTTAAGGGAAGCAGTAAAAGTGTGTGCAGGCTTATGTAAATCTCGTATGAATGGACTGACACAGAAAGACCATAGCCAGAGAGAAGACAGGTCGATCTGAGCTGCAGAAGCAAAATGGTAAGGCCTGTCTTCATCATTGTACTGCTGGGTCTTCGCTCCTAGATTCTCACACTTTCCAAAGCCCCACCATACTGTGACACAGGCTTACCTTCCCTAAGTAGTCTTCTATGTTCTAGAATATGGTGCAAAATATAGCCTGCTGATATTATTTTACATCTGAATCAACTGCCACAAACAAATATAGATTTTGAGTTTCTCTTGAAAAATCAGAAAAAGTGATTCCCCATTCCCAAGTGACAATGTCTGGCAGCACTGAGATGGTGCTCTATTTGGTCAGGATGATGTGGTAGTCACCACCTTCACCTTCCCTGCTTTATGTTTTTTTAACCTTCATTCTCTTTCATGACTATGTTCCAGATCTCTCCTCTGGCCCCATTAAAACATACCTGCTCTGTGTCCCAACCCAGTGGAGCTGGATTTCTGCTAATTCAACTAATCCTTTAAACTAGTTAAGGATAAACTGTTTAAAGCATATGCACACACTGGTTAACTCCTTGGCTTACACCCTTGAAGAGCACCAAATTCTTTTCCCAGAGGCTGAGGACATACGTACCCTGTGGATCTCCTCTAGTAGCAGCCTGGCACAGTTCCTGCCGAGGTCCTCTGGAAGCACAGCTGCTCCCTGGCCCTGAGGGTTGGAGGCCAGTTCAGCACTGAGGAAGGTGCCACTGGTGGTCTCAGCAACCAGTGACAATCCAAAGCCTGGAGACCTAGAGATTCGAAGGCACAGATGCTGAGTAGGTAAAGGCACGCGTACCAACAAACAGAAAGAGAAGACAGACAGCTTTTGGATGGCATTTGAAGACTTCCTTTGGGTTCCCTAAGCCTCACTTATTAAGAGTGAAAGCTAGCTCAAACTAGAAATACAGACGACTTACTGAGGGCAAACAAGGTAGAACCAACAGACATGCAGTATGCACTGCTTCTCCTACTAGTCCTCATTCCCTCACCTTCTCGCTTCTCTATTCTGCAACAGCTCCTACCACAAGAGTTCACAACAACCAACAGTATATGAAAATGTTAACAGGGCTGCCAGATATTGAGAGTACCCACTTTCTGCCAATTACAGGGGCTTTGCAAATAATACTTATGAAATTACAACCATGCAGAGAAGCTACCACTGCCTCTATTTTAAAATGAGGCAATGTCAAAATTAACTTGCTGGAACCAAGTCCACACAGCTAGAAAGTGACTGAGATGTTTTTCAAATGCAAGCCTTAAGACTCCAAAACCACTTATTCAACCCTCAGGTACAACTAATCCAAGAGGTACAAGGGGCTTGGAGATCACCTGGTTAAAACTCTACTTGAGGAATACCATAGTGAAAAATATGACACAATCCAGAAAGGGCCTAGATAAGGGCCACCTTTATGTGCCCCAAAGGAAAGCTCTAAACTCAGAATTCAATTAATACAATTAGCAAGCTGGCACTATGATCTCTTCCAGTGTGTTTCTGCCACCCAACAGCCAGACCCAAACACTCTTCTTGTCCAGGACTACAGGTGACTCATTCACTTATGTATCCAACAGGCATCTGAGGGAAGGTTTCCAAGAGCCAGGGACCTCAGGTACCTTGGTAACGTGAGTTCCTGCCCTCACAGAACCTAGTAACAACCACTTTAACCACAAAAGAAAATTAGCCCATAATCAATTAAAACAAAAATCTCTCCACAAAATTCCAAGATGTTTCAAATTCTAAGATGCCTCATCTACTTTGCCCAACACCTCAGAAGCAAATATGTCATCAAGATCCAGCAGCTTTCCTAGCAGCACGATCCACATGCAACTGCAAGAGAGATTTGCCTCCTTTAACACAATTCAACACTGTTCATAAAATATCTTCTGTGTGTCTAGCAAAAGATGAACCGAAATATTTACCTTCGAACACCTGTGTAAAATTAATGTTTTAAATACACAATATGAGCTCACTATATGGAAGAACTACATTGGTCAATCCTTAATTTCTTCAGAAAAATTCAATCATCTATTTAGTCGAGGGTTAGTAACACCTGCTAAGGCAAGGGGATCCAGCAAGTTACGAATTTAAGCAAAGGTTCAAGGGCATTCGGAATCATGCATAACAATCAAACAGCACCCATCATCCAAGAAACATGGAAAATTCTAGTGAAATCCCAAATCTGACCAGGAGGAGGGTGAGGACACGCAGCTTAGAGACAGAAGCAGTGGCACAGAAACATGAACAGAAAACAGAGTGAGGTGGGGGTGGGGCACGAGACAGGTTACCACCGCTGCTTTAACCCACTTACCTGCATTTCTAAATTTCTTCGTCCACATAAATTTTTTGTGGTGTGTGCCATTACAATAAATTACATTTAATCAGAATTGCTCTATCATATTAGGAACTTTAGAGAAAACACAGAACACAGATTAACCTCTATGTACAGTGCTCCAATTGTTTTCCCCCAATTTAGGGTATGTGCCTTATCAGGCCTATTTCATGTTAGAGTGACATATATAGCCTCTCATCAAGCGACCTCACTGGAGCTTTCCAACTGGTAAAGGAGTAGATTTTTAAAAAATTACTGTGAGAGTCAAAATGGGCTACACTAGACTAACGTGCATGCTGGTCAAAGTACTAACAAAATCCACCAAGACGGGCTGGCCGCCAGGATTCTAAGCCACAGCCATAACATACACTGTTGCTCCTACATTTGAACAAGCCTAACTCATGCATACTGCACTGAATCAAGAGGAATCCATGACTTTATAATTTTACAACAGAAAAGGAAAATCAACATTTTTCATCTGTAACTTAGAGATTTAGAAAACTAAACACAAATCATCCATTGGTTTTTATGTAATTTTTAAAATGAAGGTTTTGGAGTTGATGACCACACATCCATACCTTGATCCATACATAAGGCTTTACCTCACAGTTAGCAAGTATGGAGCCTGAGGATGCATTTCTGTCAACTGAGCCAGTGGCATTATTAAAAAGCCACATTATAGCTAACGGTAGGCAGTGTGGACTTCAAGGCTGCCCTGCTTCATTACTCCCCACTCTTTGGCAAAGCTAAGACCAGACAGAGGTATCAAGATCAGGGCATTTAGACAGCTCCTACAGCTACTTATCCTCCCCCAGTCTGCAATCACCTTTCCAGGAAACAGCTGACAGTTGACATATATTCCATACCTCCAGCCAAGATGGGAAAAGGAAAAGGAAAAATCAGCATGAATGGCTATCATGCTGTAGCACCTATTACATGTGAGGCACTGCATTAATTGCTTACATATATGTTTTGTTTTCGTTTTTGCAGTACTGGGGATTTAACCCAAGGCCTTTGCAGTGAACTATATCTCCGGCCCATTCTACCCTCCGTACCCTTTTAGAGACAGGGTCTCACTGAGCCACTAAGTCACCTAGGCTGGATGGACTTGAACTTGCAATCTTTCTGCCTCACCCTCCCATAACGCTGGGATTACAGGCTTGCACAACCATGCCTAGCTACTTATGACCTTTTAATGTTTATAATAACTCTGGGATGCAAACATTATCACCCTCAATGTGTAAATGAGGCAAGCACTGCTGATACTGGAGAAACAAAGGTTTGGGACCATCATGAACATTTCTAGTCTCCCAGAAGAAAGGGTAAGTTTTGCACACAAACCCTTTCCTAACTCTAACCTCTGACGACACCACCCTTGTTTCTTTGGAATATGAGCCATCACTGAACTTCTGAAACCACCTTCATCTCTCCACTGGGCCTCATGAAATTAAAAATATTCACTCACACTCAACCCCTCATCCCACCTTCTCTCTCTTTTCTCTTTCTGCTGAAGTTAAAAGAAACCTTGGGTGGAACAGCTGTGAAAATGATGAGCTCTGCTGTCTTTTAGGAAAAACATGACTTCTTAACCAACAAATAGCTATCCTCAGACTCCTGATTATTTTTCGGAGACAGCACCTGAAAATTTTAGTTTCAAAACATAATGATGAAGGCTGGGGAATTAGCTCAGTGGTTTCGCCACCTGCTGCATAAGCGCAAGGATCCGAGTTCGATCCCCAGTATCAAAACACAAAACAAAACATAATGATGCTATCATTCATACTAAAATGATTCAGCAAAAAAGAAAAGCCAGAAAGAAGTAAAGCAAAAGTGGCAAAATATTCATTGTTAATTATAAGCAATAGGAAGATACACAGGTGTTCACTGTACTATTTCTTCAGTTATTTTCTAGATTATTTTTGTAACCCCCAAATTCCTGGTTTCTAAATATAAAAAAGCAAATCCTAAAATAGACATTTATAGTATATAGACCACTGTTTATTTTTTTTCATGGACATTGTCAGACAGGTTTGTATTTTCATATTTATTAAAATATTTTAATTTCCAATTTTTAAAATTTTTGGTGGGTTGATTTAATTATTTATTTATAGTAGCAAGGCCTTTAAGTAAACCAAATTAAAATCTGCAACAACTTTCTCTGGATCTAAGAATATTGTTCCCACAGATGGAAAGAAAAGCTGACTTGCAGTTAAGATAGTAAGGATTTTCCCCCATTCTCTCTTTGCTCACAGTGGAAGCATTCTGTCCACTTTAATTTTTTGGTAGAGCAGAGTGTAAATGGCATTTAAAGCTTGAGGCACTGTTTATTAATAGATAGGTTTAAATTCTCCAACGATAAGTACTAGACCTCAGCTCCCAGCACTAGCAATTGGGATACTTTCGATGTGACAGGCACCCAAGAAATGCCTGCTGGTGACAAGAGCAATAAGTCAGAAGGAAATTAATTCTGAAATCATTCTTCCTCTGCAGCCCAGCCTCCAAGCTGGCAGTTTTAACTTCAAAACAGCACATGAAAAAGGCTCAGGTAGCTGCAGAAGAACAATCCAAAATGGAGACACTTACTTCCCAGAATTGACTCCCTTCATGTGGTCTGTGTAAATGTAGATATCGGGTATGAACTTGTTGAGGATACTCCTTGCAGAATCCACAATCCGGTTTGCCATCTGAGGTGACACACGTACAGAGTATCTGCAAGCTGGAGTTAAGGATGTCTGGCTACTGAGACTCCAGGACAGAAGAAAGTCACTTCTAAAGCTGGCAAATACTTTTGGAATCAAAATAACAAACTGGAGATTATGATCTCATTGTTTTCCAACTGTATTTAATTAATCACCTTTTGGTACCACAACTCAACTTTTTTCATTCTTACTGGTAAGTCTAAATGGTCATGATGAAAACATTACAAATTCAAAGAATGGAAAACGTCACAGTTCCCCAACTCTCACTTCCTACCCACACACTTTTCTCTAGCAGTGGTCCAATTCTTGAAGGAGTAAATATGTCTGGTTCTCTGCAGGTCATGATACGGCTCCCTTTTTTTCTTTTCTGTTTTCCCTATGGTACTGGGTATCAAACCCAGAGCCTCACTCATGCTCGGCAAGCTCTCTACCATTGAGCTACACCCTCAACCCTTTTAAGTACAACACCTGAGAATACTTCTCTAGTCTCTGTCCATTCACATTGCTGTAACCACTAAGTATCTCTTAAGAACCTAAGGCCAGGACAGACACCACCCTGGGGCAGACCTGGGCCAATCCCAATCCAACTTCTGGTATGCTGACAAAGGAAACAGAAAATATTTAGTAAGAGAGCAAGGTGGCTGCTGTTGATAAAGGTCTAAACAAACTTACCGAGCCTGTTTTCTATTGTATAAGAACTAATCACTCCATTAGTATATGATACTTCCCTTACCTGCTACTAATAATTATCAAAAATACTGATAACTAGTCCTTCTACAACAGGGCACCCCTCCAAAAAAGGGAAGGTATTAGTAACGTGAGTGAAAAGTCTAGTGCTTCTAGATGTAGAAATTATACCTAAAATTAGACTTTATAACAGAGAATGACTCTTCCCAACCCCATACATCAATCTAAACATTAAATATTTAGCACTTTCAATGTGCAATGTATGGTCAAGAGCTATATATGTAGGACTAAAGAAATGAAAAAATAACACGTGATCCTACCACCTGGATACAAATCCACATGGCAAGTCCAAGAGCTAAAGCAAGGTGTGTGATCTGTCCGTTTCAGCCCAGCTGTTCAAGAGTTTCTATCAACAACATATTTAATTTTCATGAGAGCTACAGAAACAAAATATGTACAAGGAACTTGACCTGGCATCTAGCTTTCCTATTTGACCCATCACAACCACTTCACTAGCAGAACAATCTCCCTCATGCTGAATATTTCGATAACTCCTAGCCTCTGGATCGCCAGTTTTAACACTCGAGCCTGCTCAGTGTGATCATCCTCGATAATCCACTACCCCCTCCACACATTCAAACAGTCTAAATTCTTCAACCTGAACGGCATTCTCCCTTTCTTCCAGTCCAGAGCTCCCCGTCTCACCTGAAGGCCTGCAGCCGGCATGCAACTACTATGATCTCCACCTGAGCTTACCAGAGTATCTGCCTTCCCATGTACACATCTTGCTCTTACTCTTTGAAGAGACCACACACCCACAAAGGCAGGGCTTTACTTCTGTATCCCTCACAATTCTCTAATACACCACTTTTGTACTCAGAAACTTACAAATATTTAACTTGACTCAAAGGACAAATCTGAAATGAGGAAAGAACAAAGAAGAATTTTTCAATACACACACAGAGCCCAGTTACATCATTACCTCTTCTGTCCAGAACGTACTTTTGACCACAGATATTTTAAACAAACAGTCCCGAGTCTCATACTCTTTGGACCCAGTGGGTGCTGTCCTTCTGAGGCCTGAGCCTACCCACTCTCCCCAGAAGAGCTCAGGAGATGTCACTATCCTAACACAATCCCAGTCTTCAGAGCTCCCAAAGTTCTTTCATACACATTATCACTTTGTTTTATGCTCACAACAACCTTGTGTCAAGGGCCACAATTTCTAGTTCAGAATTAAGATACTTACTCAAAATTAAACTGATCTGACTTCCAAAAACATTTTTCTTCTCATCCCTCCAGAGATTATAAAAATCAGGAGGGTATGAAAGAGAGCGGGAGAAAAGGAAAGGGAGGGGGGAGAAGGAGGGATGAAGAAGAAGAGAGAAAGGTGAAAGAGACAGACAGGTAGATATTCTCAAAGTAGTTTTCCTACAGTCAAGTAAAGAAAAAGCCCAACTCGCCCTCTCCATCTACTTCTATCCCAGCTTCTTCATCTAACCCTTATATACCAAATCATAAGCTCTGGAATAGCACCATGAAATAAAACACTGTTCCTTTCTCTCTCACCCCACATCAGACAGCAAGGAGAATCAGAGTAGGTGGCATTCAATAAAAGGTAAACTCACTGTGTAATCACAGCTGTGGGCAGAAACCAACATTAGCTCCCTCCGAGGCGCTGACCAGTCGGTCATCATTCTGCAGAATGCCAGGGGGGAGATGAACGAGGGCAGGAGTGGGGGTAGCTCAGTTGAAACAGTTCTCTCAGCTCAAGCCCTCCTATGGGAAAACAACCCACTAAACTCAGTGCAACAGTCAGCCAGTCTTACAAGTTAAAAAAACCACAAAACTAAAGTTTTGCCAAAAACAGCTCTTTTTTCCCCCAGGCTCCAAAACTGGCAAAGAAGGTGATCACTCAAACCCACATTCCTTTGACTGTTTATTAAATGGGCAGCTCTGCTGACCAGCAGCAGGAACATTTGGTCTTGAGACAGAAATGTGAGCAACGTTCACCTCTCCGGGGAATGGAGAGAAAGCCTCTGCTACTTAGAAAGAAGGCACCAGGATAGTTTGGGGTCTATCTCTGCCTCAAAGAGGAGAAGGATACAGGACCGTGCATGTGCCTTCCAGGCTCAGACTCTATACAGGGGAGTTTCTAAGAACGCTACCAAGAGAAGCCAGGCAGGAACAAAGTTGCCCCCACGGGGCTGGATGCCACAGCTATTCGAGTTTTCTTTGACATTCTCCTCCAAAGACCCCACCCCAGAACGATTACCAAAAGACTACTCAAGAGGTTTCTGCAGACACAGTACAGAGGGCACAGGGGGCCCCAGTACGACGGCCTCCATGCAACCTCTGTCATTACAACACAACTGTGTCAAAACAGCATACTACTGGAAATTACATTTCCAAACTACAGAAACTAGATCCCAAGTACAGCTCCATGCCATAATAGAGCAAAAAGGAAACATCTCAAATGAGGACAACAAAAATCTGAAATGGCTGGGAGTGGTGGTGCATGCCTGTAATCCCAGCACTTAGGAGGAGGCTGATACAGGAGGATCCCCCTGAGTTCCAGGCCACCCTGGGCTCCACAGTGAGTCCAAGGCCAGCCTGAACAATACTGTAAGATCCTATCTCAGAAAAAAAATTTGCAAAAAACCCTGAAATGATCATCGAAGCTTATAGGATTTGTATATGAAAAACAATTCAAATGCGATGAACAGGGTTTGACTTTTTAGTTCTCTGTATAGTGGAATACAATGTACCTATTAACAAGATCCATCTATAAGTGACTGCCATGGCTCAGTAGAAAAGATATATTTGGTTTTTTAAAAAACATATCCAGTCACATCGTATTTCCATTTCTTTTTTTTTTGGTACCGAGGATTGAACTCGGGTCCTTGTGCTTGCGCAGCAGGCAGCGAAACCACTGAGGTAAATCCCTGGCCCTGTATTTCCATTTCTTTATAATCTTCTTCATAACTTTGTTCCAGGTCCTCTATACCCAAGAATATTAGGTTGAACATCACTTTCAAAAGTGACTGGGTCTAATGCATCAAGCTGAGGTTCCCAGGACAGGAACCATTCTCCTCAACCTGCCCACCTTCTCCTCACACACACAAGGTTTGGCATTTAGTGGGCAATGTAGAAAACTGACTGGATCACAATCTAGGGGTGTTTTGTTATATAATCTTCTGCTCCTGATGATTCTTACAAAGAACTTCAGGCAGCACCACAAGTTTGATCTTTCATCTGAACAACCACCGCCTCCACCTCGAAGCTGTGTAGCCTACTGTACTCCACATCCTTCACCACTTACTGCTGAAGCTTAATCAAAGCCTCTGAAACTCAATCCATGCCACATTTATTTTCCTATGCATAAGACCATCCCCCAACCTTCTTGGAAATGCAAACTGAGTATGAGCACCAAACCCATCCAGGAGAAGCAGGTGTTCTGGTCTGCCTCCTTCCCTGGTCACGTGCCCACAGGAAAGTCACTGCCAGCCTATCCAGTTCCGGGGCTTCTAATGCCTGTCCCCCAAGGTCTCTTGTCAGCACCTACAATTTTACCACTTTCAAGATCTGAAATCCTAAAACAGAATTCCCTAATCAGAGTTTGCTGTTCTGCTACACAACACACCTATCTAGCGCTGACTTCTTGGGGTCCTGGAAGGTGCTGGCCCTGATTCCCAAGGGGCTGTGTTTTCCTCGTTCTCCTCCTCAGTTCTTGCTTTTGCTTTCAAGTTTTGGTAGTCTCAGGTTCCACATTTCTCCCTTTGAATTCTACACAGTAGCTGATTACAAATCATTCATTTCTAGCCTTCACCTTGATCCTGAGTGATAGATCTATGTTTCTAAGTTCCTTTCTAAATTTATCACCCCGTAGCCATATTAAAGGACCCTCAAATTGACATGTATAAAACTGATCCTATCTTCACCTCTATCCCACCCTACCCAAAACTTTTACAGCTCCTGTCAGAGCAAACATCTCTATCTGGGTCCTTAGCAAGAAACATCAAAATCACCTTCAACAACTCCCCATTCCTTTCACAGACCAGGTGAACCCCAGCCCATCCATTCTGCCTCTAGAACCTGTCATACTTAGCAGCTCTCCCCTGTTCTTGGGCCACTACTCTCTTGTCTCTCTCTTGGGCACAATAATTCTGTTAAGTCGGCCTCTATGTGGTTACCATTAGCTGATGATTTTGAACTCATACTTTTCAAAATTTGCACATGACCCAGAAGTTTTTACACTACCTCTAAAGTTGTCCTCATAATATACAAATTCAGTCTCCAGATGGAAATTACTGACTCTGGAATAAATGCCAACTCCTCAGGACAACCTTCAGCTCTTCTCTGGCTCCTGTCTTCATGCCTCGTCTTCTCCATCAAATGCTACTGACCCACCTGAATCCCGTCACACTGCACTGCCTGGTACTGCACAGGGTCAGAGTGCAACGATACATCTGCACAGAACCACTGCTCTGCCCAAACCAGGCTTCTTTTCCTGCTCCTCTTCACAAGCTCCATTCAATTGTCCTCTCCTTTCTACAGGAAAAACCACAGGCTAAAAGCCTAGGCTCCACAGTCAGACTGACAGGGTTTAAAACCCAGCTCTGCCATTATTGACAGATGACGTTATTAACAAATTCCTTAAGATTCTCAAGCCTCAGCTTCCCCACCTATAAAATAGGATGTAAATTTATAGTGATTATCAAAGTACACAGAGTAAGAATTAAATAGTGTTAATTATTATCTCAGCCCTTCTAAATCCTCCAGATAAAATTGGCCATCCACTACTCTCAGCTCCCTCAGCCCTCTGTATATATTCCTGTACTGCTTTACATTTTATATCAGAACTATATGTTTACAAAGTTTATTTTCTTTGACAGATAATGGGCTCTTCTGAGGAAGGGAGGGAGGGACTGGAGTACATTCACAGCCTCTAAACCAAAGCACTAGGGAGAATATCTCATACACAGGAGCCACTTGCTTAAAAACAAAACAAACAAACAAAACAAATCAATCTGATCATGGTAAGGAAGATAAAACATATCCCACTAATAATACTTCACTGTTAAAATTTTCCCAAGAGTATCTTTGAAAATGTAAACAGCCTCGGGAAGAAATAAAGCTGTTAGTCATTCTTATAGGGCAAGAAAATAAGTAAGAAATCAAAACCCAATGCAAAGGATACGCCATCCCTCTGATACGTTTGATTTTTCCTGGATCTGTGAGCTGAATGGGCTTCAGAACCTTCCTGACAGGACATGAGAAAAACACTTCACCTCCTCCTCCTGGAGGCATTCCTCGACGCACAATCTGCACAAAACAATTTGGGGAATAGGGAGATAAAACCAGAAGCAACAAAGCAGGACTCCCCTGGCACTCATCTCAGGAAGGTTTTACCCTGGGCTCTTCCTCACAAGACAGATAGCTCTTCCACTGTTGGCTTGCTAATCCCTTCAAAAGCAACAGCACCTCATGTTAGCTGCAAGAGGACACAAGCTCAGCAGCATGTTCAAATCACAGTGGCTTTGCTTCTCATCTGCATAACCCTGAGCAGGTCACATCACCACTGGGATCTATTTTTTCATCCTAGTTCATCACCAGATCCTATTTCAACAGCAGATCCCATTTCTTAACCACCAGGAGTACCTTTTTCTCCTCCCATACAAACAACTAATGTATCAAAACTCGACATAACCCCCCCCCCCGCCCAAAAAAGTTATTTCCCCCCTTAAAAAGCATTCATTTAAAAAAATGCTACACAGTGTCACCATACTGAATTGATGTAATTCTTTTCAGTAGCAAACAGATGCTTAAATCACTTCTACTAGGTTTTGAAATACTGAAAATTCTCAGGGACATATAGGTTGGGAGCTCCTAGACACAAATTGTATCTATGTATATCATTTAGATTTAGAGAGGCAGTAGGGCCTGAATCCTTGCTGCTCTCTTAGCTAACTGATATTGGACAGAACTACTGCAAGAAGCAAAAGAGTCAATATGTATAAAATGTTTACACTAGTACCTACCACAAGATACCTACCACAAAGTAAGGGAAACATAATTGCTGGCTACTACTGTCATCACTACATCCCTTTCTGTTCCAAGTCCATAGTGCTGCACTGGGTGTGGTGGCACCCGCCTGTAATCCCAGCAATCGAGAGGCTGAAGCAGAAGGATTGCTGTGAGTTCGTGAGTTCCAGGCCAGCCTAGGCTACACAGTGAGATCAAGGCCAGCTTCAACTACATAGGGAGACTCTGCCTCAAAAAAAAAAAAGCCACAAAACAGAAAAAGTCCATAGTATTTGGTTCATGGGCCCTGTGGATCTTCTTATAAATGGTGACTTCAAATAGGACACACAAACACTCATACACTGAACCACAGAGCTCTTCTAATGAGCTGGTAAGAAAATGTTTTACAGATACATACAGCCAGCAGTTCATACATTACCTTTAGGTCAAAGGATTCACCATCAATCCCAAATTGTTTCAATAGAGGGAGTGCTGTTGCCTTAAGAACATCAACCTATAAATTATTTCAGGGAAAAAAGTATAATTAAGTTTTGGGCAGACAGAAAAAGTCGAAGAAGCAGGCAAGGCTTAGCAACCAGGTAGATGATACAGTTTGGTAAAGAAAAAGAATGCTGGCTTTCAACTGCTCTGCACCTGAGGAAGTCTGAGATTTTACAACCACTAGGCTTCTCTGAGTCTCATTTTCCTCACTGATGACACAGAGATGTACACTTACCTTGAAGTTACCATGAGCATCATGCAAAAAGGATGGAGAAAATGCTGAGCTCAGAAAAACAAACTGACCTCTGCTCATTTTTGTAGGTGTATACACTATGGAAGAAAATATCAGCCTGTTTTAGTATGATTTTTTTTTAAATGTTTGAGCTAGTGGCACTGACTCAAAGCAAACCAAATTATTCAGTGCTAACCTAAGAATCTGGACACAGGTGGTGATTCCATATGGGAGTGCGCTAGCTACAATGAAGGAATGACAATCTCAAACTACATGAAGCAGCACAAGCCCACACCTGAAATTATAACAGCATTCTCGGTAAATGTAGACTATGCCAAAGGCTGCTGTCATCTCTTTCCTATTCACCACTCCCAGGTCTTTCATATTCATTTATGAATTCCTCCTAGAGTATAAGGATGACATTCAAATCACGTACATGTAACAAGTCAGTGAATGTTGCAACATGGGAAGGAAAATTACTTTTATTTGTTTCCAATGGAGTAAGACATTCCCCTCTTGGCCCTGGTGAGGCTGACCCTATCAGGGGCAATGAGGGCCAGCGGCATGAGCAGAGAGTCCAGGAAAAAAATCCTAGTTCTGGTCCAGGCTCTGCTTCTAATTATCTGTATGGCCTCAGACAAGAAAGTAACAATTTCTGTGACTTTAATAGAAGGGCCTCAAGCCTGGTTGTCTCTAAGCTGTCAACAACTCTTAACAGGCTGGCTCAATAGAACAATACTCTAATACAGTGTTAGAGCAGAAGAAAGGCCCCAACTGAATACTCTAATATCAAAAAAATAACAAGCAGAAATGGCCTATAAAACCTGGAAGATGTTCACAATAGATCAGGCGTGGCAGGGGCAGTGACAAGGAAAAGCTATTAAAGGTTAGCTAATTTCAACCAAATATTAAAGCTAAAAAAACCCCAAACACTTAATATAAATTATGCATCACCTAACAGTGGGGATGTTTTGTGAGAAATCCATCATTACATGATTTCATCACAGTATCTTTATATACTTTTTTTTTTGAGACAGGTTTTTGCTATGGAACTTGCAACCCTCCTACCTCAGCTTCTGAAGTAGCTGGCATTATAATCATGCATTATTACACCCAGCTGAGTGTCCTTATGTAAACCTAGATGACACTGCCTATTACATATCTAGGCTATATGATTTAGTCTATTTTTAATTTTATTTTTATTTTTTACTTTTTTCTTATTAAAAATGAAGATCCAGGGCCGAGGATGTAGCTCCATGGCCTGCACCTGCCTCCTAAATGCAAGGTCCTGAGTTTAATCCCCAGTATCAGAAAAAAAAAAAAAAAAAAAAAAAGAGAGAGACACAAACATACACACACATTAGCTTAGGCCTACACGGGATCAGAATCATCAGTTTTACCCACACTATATCCCCTGAAAGGTCTCTGAGGGTGCTAACAGGCATGGAGCAGTCACCTCCCATGATAACAATGCCTTCTGGAATCCTGAGGGACCTACCTGAGGCTGTTTTAGCATTAACTTTTTTTTTTAATAAGTAGAAGGTGTACACTTTAAAATAACAAAAGTGTAGCATGGCTGGGGAGCAACCTAGGTTCAATCCCCAAGAAAGAGCGCATGTATGCACACACACGCACGTGAGCACACACACACACATATAGTGTAGTAAATACATAAACCAGTAAGTCATTTATTATTTTTATTATGTGCTATACATAATTGTGCTACATTTTTATACAACTGGCTATGCAGCAAGTTTGTTTACAACAGCATCAACGAACATGAGGAATGCATTATACTACAACGTTAGGATAGGTGCAAGTTTATAACAGCTATGATGTCACTAGGCAATAGGATGTAGGTTACCCTAGAACTAGGCAGCCACCAGTTCTCTGGGGAAAAAGAAAGGTGAAAAGATAGAGCATCCCTTTTGGCACATCCTACTCATACCCTGAGTCAGAGAAGACAGTCAAATTTAATTTGAATCAGCCAAAAGTCCATGTGTCATACCATCTCCTAATCACTCTCCATCTGAAAGACGCAGTGCAGTGGGTAAATGCTATACGAGTAGGTGAGGATCTGAGCTTCACTCTGCCTCTTAACCAGCTGTAAGACCCTGGTCACTTTACCTCCCTAGGGCCTCAGTTTCCTCCTGCATGAGATGAGAGGCTGGGCTGAACACTCTACTGCCTTCTCCAGTTCTGCACACTTTGGCTTTAGCAGAGTAAAGGTGAGCTGCAAGCTCTGCCTCAGGGAAACTCAGCTGTCACTCTACAGAGAACAAAGGAAAAGATCTCACCCAAGTGGTAGCTCAGGGCAAAGGTAAATCCTCTTACTCTGCAGTCAGTAAACAGAAATGTGAACAGATCCACACCTCATGAAAAAAGAAACTCACCCTCAAATTACCTCGTCTAAGCAATGACAAGAAGATAAATATGTTTCGTTTTGGTTTTTTTTTGGTACCAGGGATCGAACTCCAGTTCTTGCGCTTGCAGGGCAGGCGGTGGCACCACTGAGCTAAATCCCTGGCCCAAGAAGATAAATATAGAAGATAAATAGTTGGGAGAAGATAAATATGGATCACACATATGTACATACTGTGCACCTAGAACAATGAGTACTGCGTTTCTTTTCCCTTTCTAGGATGGAACTGGAAGAACAGAATATTCACCCTTCACCCACCACCTGACCAACGTTTCAGCACTGGTCAATATTTACTAGAGACTCTGGTTCCACATGATTGAGATTCAGAAGCTTCCTGAAACTTTTCTTCTCCAAATTTTTTCCCATTTCTTGTCCTCTAGCCTCTAAAGTGAAAAAAAAAAGTCCCTAACCCTTTATAAGGCCCATCCCATCACTTCTGCTACCCTATCCCCTCTGAACTTCTGTGGGAGTTAGGCTTATTAAGTACTCTATCTTTTTATTTTAATCTTTCCCTTCTGCATGACAACTTCTCAGGTTACAGGCTGATTGAAGCTTCCCTACTGTAAAAAACATTCCCAATCTCAGTTCTTAAGAAACCATTCTACCTAAGCTTCTGGAAGGATCTCCTAACTTTCTGTGGCTCTAACTCCTATTCCTTTCTCAGCCTGTACCTGCCACTGCACTCCAATGACACTGCTGTCTCAGACCTCAACAAAACCTCTCACTGCTACATCTCACTATCCAAACTAACCTGACACCTGACACCTGCAAAGGACTCTTTAAGTCATCCCCAGCCACTCAGAACTTGACTGCTGTTTGGTTTTTCCAAATACTTCTGTTTCCTCCTTCTCTTCCACCTCTTATACCTTACACACTCATTTCCCTTCTACTCTCAGTCTGTTTTTCTTTTCTTTTCTTTTCTTTTTGAGACAGGATCTTGCTATTTGGCTCAGGCAGCCCTTGAACTCAATGTAACCCAGGCTGGCCTTGAGCTCACAGTGGTCCTCCAGCCTCAGCCTCCTGAGTGCTGGGATTACTGGCATGTGCCATCATGCCTGGGCTTGTAAGACTTTAAACAGATCTTGATGGCCTGTTTCTGAGGCTCCAGACAATACCTTCCAGCTGCCAAATGGAAGTCCCGAGTAGTTATGCTGCCATTGCCCAGGGGATAAGGCCAAAATCAAATCGTTATGCTACCACAATTTTCTCCTTCATCATGTCAAACTCTTTCTACATATTATCTTTAAAGTCAGCCAGGACAAAAACATGGAATAATTTATGGCCCATTCCTCCCTGTCCATCTTCAAGTAGATGTCAAGTTATGAAGCCTCTCTTGTCATACCATCCTTCATATTTGCCTCTTACTTTCTGCTTCCATCTCCATAATATCTAACTAATCTATCACCTTTCCAACTAATTGGTGACTTGACCTCCAGAATTATCCTAAAGCCCATAGTGACCCCATGGTTGTTTCCCTTCCTCTAGAAACACTACCCAACTGCTATGGTTTAAATGTACCCTCCAAAACTCATGTTAAAATGTAACTGTTACTTTAACAGCTTTCAGTGAAACCTTTTTTTTTTTTTTTAATTTCCCCATTAACTTTATTGGTACATTTTAGGTATAAAATACAGTTACATTCATCATTGGGATCTTGTACCATTACATGAGTCTCTTGGTTCT